GATACTGGCAGGTACCCGTGAACAAGAAGGACAGGGAGAAAACAGCATTTACTAGTCCTCGAGGACTTTATCAATTCAAGACTATGCCGTTTGGTCTTAGTGGTGCACCTGCAACCTTTCAATGCATGATGGATGAAATCTTGAGAGGGACGGAGACTTTTGCAGGAGTGTACTTAGACGACATAGTAATTCATAGCAGTATATGGAGAGATCATCTCAATCAGTTAAGAGATGTTTTAAAGAGACTGGATGATGCGGGATTGACAATCAAGCTAAAGAAGTGTACATTTGGAGCAAGGGAGTGTACGTATCTTGGATATCAGATTGGCAAAGGAGGGGTCAGACCAGAACAAAGAAAAATTGAAGCTATTATAAATATGGCAAGACCACAGACAAAGAAGGATGTAAGGACGTTTCTTGGAATCACTGGATACTACCGTAGGTTTGTGCAGGATTATGCTTCGATAGCAGAACCCTTGACTGAATTGACAAGGAAGAAGCTGCCTGAACGGGTCATATGGAGTGAGAAGGCAGAATTGGCATTTCAGAAGCTAAAAACAGCATTAACTACAGCACCATTAATGAAAAATCCGAACTTCAACCAACCATTTATATTGCAAACTGATGCTTCAGGAGTAGGAGTTGGTGCAATTCTTAGTCAAGGAGAGGAGAATTTAGATGAGGGACCAGTTGCTTATTTTAGTAAAAAGCTACTCCCGAGAGAACAAGCATACTCGACAGTCGAAAAAGAGTGCTTAGCTATTATTCTAGCCATCAAGCATTTCAGTGCATATCTCATAGGGAGATCTTTTATTATTCAGACGGATCATAGAGCTCTTCAATGGCTACACAAGTTTAAAGAGAAGAATGCAAGATTGACTAGATGGAGTTTGATTCTGCAACCATATAATTTCACTATACAACATCGGAAAGGGGTAGCAAATGCAAATGCAGATGCACTTTCTAGATTGGAGAGGAAGAGCACTTCGTGCCAGAGGGGAAGGGAGGAAATGTAAGAAGTTGTTTCTAAATGGATCCGGAACTCTCTGTGTACTATTGTAATTATATATTATGTGTTTATTCAAGTATATTCTAGAACAATCATATAAAGTATTCTTGTATGTTATAGAACCTTCTGGACATTTATAAGATCTATATAAGTGTGTTGTTTGTGAGTTAGTTTTTAGTTTTTGTTAGTTGAGTTTCGTGTTGATTAAGAAATAAGTTTGGTGAACAGATAGCTAGGAGCGTCTGTTACAAACTGCACTTCAGTCTTAACTGCTACTCCAGTTTCAGTAATCCCATCAACTATAGTGATACATCAGACAGTGTCATTGCTCTTAGTGTGTTAGTGGGTATATTGTGTGGTCTACTAACTGTCAGTGTTATTGTTCATATCTACTGCTTTATAAGGTATAGTTTACATTGTTTTATTTGGTACAATAATTGTTATTGTTTTTATCATAGAAAGAAGAGTTCATACACTGTTAATAAGCAAACGAAGTTAGTCTATTCTATTATGTTGAGTTATTTAACACAAAACAATAATAGAGCTGATGATGATATTGCAATGCAAGTATGTGAACCATATGAAATTCACAAGACTAAACAAAGTGAAAAGAATGAAGGAGTCTATGATGAATGCCAAACATCACCTGATGATGTTTATGAGCATATGCCACAATAAATGTATATACTAGAATTACTTGATATACTAAACATAACTAGTTAAACATTTTCACTAGTATTAGTGCAGCAATTAATATTGTTTACACATAGTTATACATTTAGTTTGTTTGAGAAAAAGAGAACAGAGTTTTATTAGTACATTTAATAATCACTATCTAGATATGATTTTAGCAAATGGCATGTCTTCTATCTTCATTTCTTGTCTGTCTAAAGAGAGACAAAGTATTGTACATATTAATAAAGGGACTTATACTTACCAAATTAAAATTTCTATTCTTTTATTGTTGCTAAAAACTGTATACACCATATAATTTTTTGGGTGGAAAATTTTGCAATTGGTTGTTTTCAAATAAAAATTTCATGATTTTGATGTAGTTACCATACCCTTTATGATCTTCACACTTTTTTGCAATTTTTTTAATATGTAAAAATCTGAAAATTATTTAATCCTTGCAAATTAGATGGTGTATATGGTATAGCCTTTTGTAAAATTTTGTCAGAAATGGATATTAGATAATTCTTTATTTCTATAATTTTTGTGATACATATGCTGTTGTATTTCAAATTTAAGCTGATTTTGATCAATTTTAGATTTTTTACAAACTTTTCAAAAATTGGGTCAAAGCCTCTGTACAAAATATTTGAAAAAAATTTCCGAAACTAAAAAGGAGAGATTTTTTTCTAATACATATGTATGTTCTTATAGTGTATTTCAAATTTGTGCTGATTCCAATCACATATGGTTTTTTTTACAAATTTAAAAAGTTGCTCCTAAATCAAGCCAATACTTCTGTACAAATTTTTAATCAAATTTTGCTAAAAATGAAAAGGAGAAAGTTCTCCTTTTTTATATTTTTTCTGATACTAACTAATGCATGTTTTTATGTTGTGTTTTAAGTTTAAACTGATTTTTAATACATTTTGCTTTTTACAAAATTTTAAAGTTGCTCCAAAACCTGGCTAAAATCCAGTGCAAGGTCTTTGGAAAAATTTTGCAAAAATTGAAATGGAGAGAAATCTTCATTTTTATAGTTTTTTCTGATTTGTACAAACACATGCTCTTACGTTGTATTTAGAAATTTTAAAACAATGGTTCTGTTGAGCAAAAGTGAATTTTTTATGAATGTTGTAACTTAGAAAGTATTATTAACAACAAAAAAAACTAACTATAACTGTTCAACTGTTCAACCTTAAATACACAGACAATTAACACTGCACGGGATGTGGTTTAGAAAAATTACATAACTGTACAGACTAATTAAAATCACATGAAACTAACACTAAATAGTTTACTACAATGAATTTTTAAGTTACTTAAAAGTCTAACAGAAGAATAAAGATATCAATGTATAAATCTAATGACAACTTTAACCATTTGTCACACTTCATATTTAGATGTGAATTACTGCAAATAAAGTAACTTAAATCTGATTGCCAATAGACAAGCTATCTGTGATGTGAACTGAAAACATAATGCATGTATATGCACTCACTGAAACACAATACAAAACTTATGTGTGCATGGTTTATGCACAGAGTTTGTCACAGTGCGTAAACATGTTATTGTTTTGGATTATCATGGCTAGTGACATGAAAAGCTTTTTTACACTTTATTTATGTAAAAGAAAACTGTGAAGTTTGTCAAAATTGTACCAGTAACTATGGCATTCTCAGTATCCTTGATGATTATAGTCTTCTTGTTGAGTGTCAGTGAAGTTATTAGTCAATGTCCACCTTCCTCAGGTAAGACACTGGATGTGTATAATAACAACTGTATATATAGGTTTTTATAGGTATCTACCTGACCAGATCTTATGTAGGAAACTGTTATTCTAGTGGATCATACTTTTGGGATAGTAGTGTCAATACAGCTAATAAAGCTATATCATGTGTGTTACCTGGTACTAGTCTAACTACTGGTCAGTGGGTTAGAGTTGCTGATCCTGATGATCCTGTTGACTGTAACAGTAATAATGCCAGTGATCCTTTTCGTTGTACTAATGTCACTTCACCTGCTGCTACTCTCAATCTTTATCTTGCTCAGGGACTAGCAGCAGATCAAGAAGGCTGGTACAAGTGTTGTCTACCCACTGATTGTTCAGATCCTAACACTAACATCATCTTTGCTAATATATTTAGTAATAGGAGATTGTAATCACTTATTCATCTAAAAAATTTCATTTGTAGGATATTCAGAGATAGAATTATTTACTGTTGCTGATCTTCCTTCTGATATGACAGTATATCCTCAGGAATACAAACTGAATTGTACTAAAAGTGGATACAATAGATATGATATTAGTATGAGCATGGGTAGTATTGCACTGGCTAGTTACACTAATTGTGAAGATGAAGTTAATCATAATCCTTGTTCTGGTACTGTGTTAGTTAGTAGTACCAACACAATAAGATATACTGTTACTATCACATGGGATGGAATGACTGTCAGTAGTGGATCAATCAGTCAATCAACCACTGGAGATCAATTGTATCTGTGTGTACTGGATAATCCTAGTGGGGGTAATGATAGAACACGTAATTAACC